TCTTTCTCTGAGATATAATATGCTCTTCCCAAATTCCAGAACTCTTCTGCCATGTTCAAAAAGGAGGTATCTTGATAAGCAAGGTAGAATTTGCTGGCTGCATAACCATACACCCTTCATTAAGTATGAGTTTTGAGTATTTAGGTTGCAAAGCCAATATAAATACTTACGAATAGTCCTCAATCTGTCATCAAGTAATGAGCATGTAAGTTCCCGACTTTCAGCAATAGGAAAATTATAAGACTCTGACAGTAGTTCTAGGAAAAGTTCATTCACTGGAAGCAATCAAGAAGTCAGAGTTTACAACATACAGTGGGGAGGCTACTGCTTCAACTGAAGCTTGTGGAAGTTGGACTTGAACAAGATCTCGATAGAATGTGTTTTGAGTTAACTTGTCAAACTCTGCCATCTGTGAGTATAAGATAGCTGTTGTAAGGGCTGGATTTTGTTTGAGTTTGGGACATATACTCTGCTCAACAAGAAAACTCACAGATATCATGAACCTTCAATGTTCCATTTTTATCTGATATTGCCATATTCACTGCTATATCCAATACTGCATGTGCAAGGGATACATGGTTATCATATGTGGATTGCCTGGTCTGAATTGAAACCTGAGTATGCGATGACAGTTGGATTGACATAGTTCATACCAAGTTGGCTGTGAGCTTTGGAGGCAAAGGAGGAGATTGTGCAAAAACCCTCTCAAGAGTAAGAAGACAAAGGAGTTCAGTGACAAAGAATATCATCTGACCAGGAGTCGAACAAAAGGATAGACGTGACAGTAGAAATAGGTAACGCCCTTCGACGACTTCGAATGAACAGTTCAAGTCAAAGACATATCCAAACCATTACTTATTTATAACCAACTGTGTCCTGCTGTGTACAAGTGAGAAAGCTTTAACATTGCTAGCAAAACCAATGATTGATGACAACAAAAGAAACAGTGAGAGTTGATATATAAACCTACATGGTGATAAGCCCCTTACAGATGATTGATCTGATCTCGTATTATGACGGTATCCTGAAGGCTGGACCCCTCTGATGTGAAATAACTTCACATACCTGTACTTGCGACTTGACTGCTACAGAGTATGTTGATTTGTGAAGTGCATATCATTTCACTATTCTACCAATCAGCATCGCAATACCCGAGGTTAAAAGCTTCATTGGACTGCAGGCTTTCATGACGTCAAATGGTGAGAACACTCCCGAGACTCGGGGAAGCACGGTAACAATCTTATTCCTTAATAATCTTCACTTTCCCGGAACATCAACCCATGAGCGAAGAACAGTATATACTGCATGATTTTCATCACGGACATTGAAGAGAGAAGCCATAAACATACATCAACCTGATGAAGGTCAAGAGTTCCTCCTATCGAAAGTGTGCTGCCGAAGCCAGGCTGCTAAATTTGCTCTTTCGGTAGCGAAGCCGAAGACGGCAGGCGGGGGGGGGGACTTTTGATCTTTCATCTATCTATCTACTCCAACTCCTTCACGCTGTCACTACCACACAACGGCGTGTTCGACTCAATTTGGTTGACTTGAATGATGCACTGCCAATTCGATTCAAGTTTTCCCTGATTTCCAATCCATCAGAAAAATGTAGTTCATCATTCATGAATACCGTACCGTGCCTGACAGAACGGACCTTTTGAGTCGTGCCGACTGAGATTGTTGATTTTTCTGATTGAGGCGCTGTGCAGGTTGGGTCGATGGGAGATATCTACGCCCCCTGTGGAGACAACTCTTGTAACCTTCTCCTATTCGGCGATAAACTCTGGGTCAGTCATCTGACTCCAAATCTATGTTCGTTTGAAATGACACTCCTCCGTCTCCCCAACGAGTTTTCAACCAAAAGAAAGTGTCGCGCAATAGTCAAAACTGCATGACAGCAGCCCAGTCTTGAAGTGAACCCGCCGAATTTCTATTCACCGGGGACCGTAGTGAGCGTCATCGCCAAATGGAAGATCCCTGCATGGAGTCCTTGGCAGGTTTGTACGCCCCCCGTCGATTCATCCACCTTATGTTGATATCTATATAGTTTCTCTAAGTTCCTGACCTTGAAAGCTCTCAGGCAGAAATGCAGGTTGTTCTGGCCAAGTGAGGTTTCTGGGCGTATTATGATGTCCTTGAAGGCGGGACAAAATCCTGCCCCATCGAGAATCTTCACAACAGCTAGGTTTAAACTTTGAGGGATTTTAGAGAAAGTGCTATAATCTCGTTACAGTTTAGATATGCTAGCACATTTCGTCGGGGGTCCAGAATTCTCCCATATCATACGGATGACCTCCAAGCCGAGATCCTCTGTTGTCACTGTGTATTTTACGTCCCAATTACGGAACTCTTCATGTCGAGCACCAGAGTTCTTTGGAAAACTCCCGCCGAGAAGTAACTTCTTGGTGTTTATAGCTATATGCTATCATTCTGGCTAGTACTGAAATACTCTGGTGTCGAGCTATCGACCCTCCGCCCGCCCATGGCACGTAGGGGGTGAACTTGTATTTCCTCTTCCATAAATCAGACCGCTTGCATCGGAGACCTTCCCCACAAAAGAGAATGCCGCTACTCACGAGTGAGTATTACGGACTATCGGGATTCTCAGCATAATTCTCCAAAGCACTTGACGAAAGTTCCATGACTACCAAAATGAAACATTTCACCTTTTAGATTTTTCTTTACTCTTTATGTCGAACTTCCATACTACCCCTTACGCCACCGCTATGTGGGGCCACTGCGGGACCCTCCCTCAAAGTCCGAGTTGGGTGGACACCGGACGGAGAATGCTTCGGCTTCCCGTCGGTGTGGTCAGCTTCTGAGGGTGCATTCCGGAATGAATGGTCGCTTAGAAGAAAGCCAACGTTAGGAGTAATGTTTCGTAGAAGGGCCTAGGCTTGGGAGTCCTTGAATGGATTGGACTAGATTGGACTTTGTTGGTTGATAGACTTTGTTTACACGATGGGACAGGCACTGGGAACATATTTAGTACGTTATAGAAGGTTCCGGGTTGTAAGTGGTGCGAGTTTATGTACAAATCGGCCCACATGAAAAAGTTTCTCAGGAACGGTGAATGACAAGTTCACAATTGCGGTTCGCGATTTTGACTTGCCGACTCTGAGAGATGTTTCTTTCTTAGTCTTTGTCACGGACTCGGGGTTTGTTTGTTTTTTTGCAACAGTGAATTCTACGCGCGAAATGAATTTGTATATATAGGTGCGGTTGACCACGAAGTGAAATTGAGTCGCTTTCAGCATCGGGATTACTGTGGAGAGACTACCGGCTGTAGGAATACGCTAGACACCATCCACATGAGAGTGAGAAGTTCAAGAGACCTATTTCTTTGTCGAAGTCGCGGACTCGTTTGCCTACGTATATATGTTGCCACCTCACTGCGAAGACCCACCCGAGAACAAGGACTGTATGAGTAAAAACTAGAGCTTTACACCGTCGATTATGAAAGTCAACTAACCGTGAATGAGAAAGGCTGCGTCGAAAAGCGAAAAAAAAACGCAACCTAAGATTCCTCAGTAAACTTCTGATCCTGCGACCCTACATGTACAGGTTTGTACCATGTATTTATGGGAAGGAACAAAGTACATACGGCACCGCCGCTACTATGTATTCTACGCGCTATAGACCGGGGAATTGAGATCTTCTTGTAAAATGTTCAACGGGCCGTCGGGGCTTTGACGCAAAATTCAATGACATACGTACCCGCACCGTGAACCCCACGCCTCGGACTTTTTTTTTACGATCAATGGTGACTTACATCAAGTTCCATAATTACTTTGTATTGCCGTCGCTACTATGTGGGTTCCAATTTGTACAATTGCATCTACTGCAAGTTCCGAGCCAGCGGGTGATTCTGAGTATGCTCTTCAATGGACGATGCTGTGATATCAATTTCAAAGAGGAAGCCGACTCCCGAGTAGGTCTTGCAATTGTATTAAGGCTTACGCTTTTGAATTCTTGATGAAATAAGCAAAAAAACAAAACAAAAAAAAACGCGTTTTCAGTGTCAGGCACAGAGACCCTAAAGGCTAAGAGGGTTAACAGAAATCTCGGAAATCTCCTGGAAAGAAAAAAGGTCCACGTTCAAAAAAACTCCAGACTGAGATTGCACTGAGTGTGGTGGTATTTCGTTTTTCCGGACGGAAAAAGCTAGCCCAGGCCTAAAGACCTTTAAGTCCGGACATGAAAAACCCGGTCCTCGAACTTCGAAGGGTACCGGCGTACTGTCCCGGGTAGATCTGGACAAGAAAGTAAAAGTTTTGCCTCCCGTGCTTTAACTCCAAGAAGGAAATTCCTCGGGTCGTTTCAGGCACTTACAAATATCACACAATTCAACACCGAGTTGTGGGTGACCGCAAGTGGCGCGTGTGGGTTGTACCGCCGTTCTGTGAGTTGAGAGCTCAGAGAACCCAAGTTGAGAATTTGGATTGGAACGGAGGGGAATTTGAAGAACGTCTTTGAACGCTCTACTATACATGGAAGCAGCGACTTGGATTTTGGACGTCTGAAGTTTTTTGAACTCTGAAGCTGCTCAAGCAGGGTGAAACCCCAAAACGCGTTGGCGGCGAAAAAGGTTCCAAAATCGATAAATCCAGAAAATTCCGATCTACAGTTTGAACCGTTTAAATCGGACACCAGAGAGGGCTGCTGTAGGTAACGGGATCGTGGTTTTGCTTGCAACCGACGACCAACCGTCTGCTTCTGGTCCCACATGGGAATGAAAATCACAGTCCAACTTCAGGATTTTGGAAAGGTCCAGGAGTCTCTTTTAAGACAACAAGGCCTAGGAACGGTTATCTAGGAACGGTTACCGTTGCAATTGGCTTTTTTTTTGGAGAACCTAGGCCTTTTCTGGTGGAGCTCTGGTAATCAATCTAATATCTTCACAAAACGTATGCACTACCTATGTAACCGTGCATCAGAACTGAAGCTGAAAATTCCTTCCGTCTTCCTGTTCTGATGTAATACAGTACCTGTAGGTGTACTCCAATGTGGTGTAGTGGTTAACATTGCTGTCTTTCATGTGAATGTATCCTGCCTGAATACACAGCAGCCCGGGGTTCGATTCCCCGCATTGGAAGTTACACCTGAAGAGTGGAAATTTCTTTTCTTTTGCCTGCTTTGTCAATTCACAAAGCTCGCTAGTTTGTTCACATAGAGAGCTGAGTGGTACTAGGTAGCTCTTAAAAAATTGAAACGAGCACCACTACGGAATTGCTCCGAGCTTCGCCTTCGCTTGTCTGTTCGGGAAGCCTGGAGCGTTCGCGGTGTCTGGTGTCTGCGGGTGTGTGATTTTAAAACAAATGAACGACTTCCAAAACCACGGGTAAATGAGCTAAAATGCTTGAATTCTTATATTGGAAAAAAAATTTCAAATTTTCACGTTTTTTTATTTAACGAACAGCCTTGCGCGCGGAAAAGAATTAAATATCGCTCTGGGTTGTTTTTTGTTTGTTTTCAATCGTAGAGAGATGTTCAATGCATGGTAGTATATTATAGGTAGTGTAAGCTTGTATGGGACTAGGTACGTTTGGGGAAAAGTTCCGATTCGGAGGGGGGATGTTAAGGATTTCTTTTCTTGTTTTGGAATAAATGAATTTCTAACAGTTCGTGAGTCATGATCACTCTCTAGAGTCACTTGTCAAGAAGAACTCGTTGCTTGCCTCGAGCCCAAGAGCCCGCTTTCGGGTTACGTCGGTGGCTGGCCAGATACCGTACATTTGTGAGAAAAAACTGCGTGTACGAAAGGGATATAAAGAAACGGGTCGGCTAAGAAAAAAGACCGAGCTTGAGGTTCGGAAGGGTGTTATTTGGACTCCACGGGTGGTCCGGATGCTGCTGATTTCTACAGCTATGTAGTGATGAGAGTGATTCCAGTATCTCCAAGTGAGAGGCTCTATCTTGATGGTTGATGAAAGCACCTGAACGGTAAATAGATATGTAGCCGGGAATCAACCTGAAGAGCTTTTTTTCCTCCTTTCTCCAAGGTTGCGCGCTGGAGGTATGATGATGATAAGAGATCATTGATGCATACTTTGTTACCGTGAACCACTGGGTCTTCCGAATCGCCGAACGATGAGACGGTGGCCGTGCGTAGGTAAGATGGAAAAGAAGGATAACGTTGAGGCTGAAAACGTGATCCTATACAAGGTTCGGACAAGTCAGGATTTTGAGTATATTTTGGCAGATTCTTTCCCTTCCTCGTGTTGTGCTTGTCGTCCGTGTGGGCTTTATGATAGGAATACACGGAGAAATACAGCGCACGATTAGCTACTGCCCTATATACCAACACCACTCGCGCTCAAAGAGCTCCCTAAAGTCTTGTTCTCACCTTTCCTCGTCTGGGTACGACATTTGGAACAAGGCCAAGTCCGATATCACCGTCTCTCTGACGAAGCTGTAGATAAAGCCTTGAGGTAAGTATCATGATATATTATCACCATAAGCATATGTTCTGTTGATGGAATATCGAGACTCGAATTAGTAACGGTCGTTTGGGCCCATGGGCGCTCTTGATCCCTTCTTCCCAACTTCAAAGGGCAGGCTTCCCTTCCCGCAACTATGTACATATTTATGCTCCGGTGAATTAGTAGGAGGGTTTTACCGTGTAATGTTCTTGTGGACGTCTCTTCACATCTTTTTATTTTTTTAAAGGAAGGGCCTACGCTCGTGAGAAGTGCCAAGGGTAGGTGTAAGTTGATCTTTTTTTCGTTTATGATGCAATTCCGAAACCCCGTTCCCCGGCGAAGAGCGGAAGTTGGGGAAGAACCAACCCTTCCCCCCTTTGGATTCGGAGGCGCTAGTAAGAAGAAGAAGCAGCCCCACCCACCCAGCATGGTTTCTTTGAGATTTCCTAAAGTGGACCTAGTAATTTCGGAATCAAACGAAAATGAAAGTTCGGAAGTTCTAGGTTATCTTTCTGTGTGGGCTGTCATCGACAACTTTTTCTCGCGACAACCTCACAATGAAAAATGCGAATGCGAAATGTGAAAATCCCCCGGCTTCAAATCGAGGTTCCGGCCGGCGACGGTACGTCGGAAGGGAAGTCTGCCGCCGGAAGGAGAATGAGGTAAGCAATATCACCATTTTTCTTATTAGGGTAAAACTGTTTTTCGTCGTTTCCAATAAAGGCCAAATCAAGATCAGGTTGAAACGTAATATTTGAATAAATTCACCCTCATTTCTAGACCTCAACGACCGCCTGTTTCTTTCCATTTTTAACCTTGGACCATCGTGCTCACCGCCAACGACGACGTCGACGCTCTATAATCCGCTCCTCCAAGTTGTTCACGAACGAGACACTCGGTTGCTAACGCCTCGTACGTTCCTCTTTCCATCGTTCCTCATCGCCTTTTCGCCGTTTCTAGTACACGCCCTCCCCTTCATCGCCTCATTTCCGTTTTCCCAAGCCCTCACCTCTCTCGCGCTATCCCTCCTCCCCTTCAAGCTGTTGACCTCATAACTAATTCCTTTCTCAACAGCACCAAACCTTACACGTTCCCCTCATACCACAATGTCGAATTATACCACGATATCCCCCCATCTATTACCGGATTCCCCTTCAACAAGCCACATTCCCAACGATGTTTCAGGATACCATTCATCTTCTTGCGGAACCTCACTCTCACTCTCTTTGAAATCCCTTTCCCTCAAGTCGAAACCCTCACTACGCTCGCTGTTTTGGAGGCGCAACAGTACCCCGTTGATACTCGACCCTCTAGACGAGACGAGGCCAGGAAGACCATTGCCGAATCTTCCCCCCGAGTTATGGGTCATGATCATTCGATATTCAGCTGGTAGCTTTGGGTATGGACATGGAGAAAAGTCGTTTAGGGATCAGGCGAACGCTTCCAATTCTGTATACATAGCTGGTACGTTGGCCTGTGTTTTTTTTTCCGTGTCAGAAAATTTCAACGCCTCGTGTTATAGGTCCCTCGACCACCATCCCCCTTCTAACAAGAAGCGAATACCTCACTTCCATCTCCCAAAAAATGTCCTGTTCCCTCGTCTCTAAACGTTGGAACGCCTACACAGCCGAAGTATTGTACGAATACATTTGGTTATCCCGAGCTCGACAAGCCAAAGCTCTCGCTTTAACCCTCTTATGCCAAGTCTGCGCAAGCCCCATCGTTCATCCATCCATCTACAGCACCGCTTCGTCCGGTTCCGCAGGTGCCAACGGTGGTACAGGCACATATACCCATTACCCCGCCCTCTCAAACTCTAAAGCGAATCAAACCTCCACCTCATCTCAGTGTGGTAGACATATCAGAGTCTTACACCTCGACACACCAACGTTGGACAGATGTAACCCACTGGACATCAGAGTCATCCTCGACTACGCACCCAACTTGCTTGCCTACTGCGATTTCAAAAGTCTTCGTAGGAACCTGTTTGAAGAAGTTCGTGATCCTCGTGGATCTGTGGAGGGGTTGTTGAAAGCTTTGGGAGTAGGAAAAAGGACGCCGGATGAAAGGAGCTTGTTGAAGCGGCTTTCTTGGACTTGTTATTCGACGGATTCGATCACGATGAGTTCGTTTGCTGTCAGCTGTATTACGACGAGTTTGGAGTATTTGGAGATGGATTTTTCGGGGATGGAGAGTTCGATTTCGTCTTTTTTTGGGTCGTTTGTGGCTGCTACGGCTACGGCGATGTCGACTACGACGACGATGAATTCGATTGCGAGTGAGGCGTTCATGACGTCTACTACGACTACGACTACTACTATGGTTGAAGATGTGGATGATGAAAAGTGTAGGGATTCTGAGTGGGTGGATGGGAAGAGGAAGGGTGAGATGCTTGTTCCTGGATTGGTGTTTCCTTGTTTGAAAGGGTTGAAGGTGAGGTTTCTTCGAAACTCATAGTACACATCCGCTGATTTAAAAAAAAATAAATACAGGTAACCCTTCCAGAACCCACATTCCTCTTACTCTCCTCCTGGCTGATGCCTCAACTCGAAAACCTCACCGTCTCATTAACAAACTGCGATTCTCCAACTCCAACTGTTTCGTCTGGTGGTGCCTTTCATCAGTTTTTCGAGATTCATGGTAAAAAATTGGTTCAACTCGAGTTGTCATGTACTTCTGGAGGGGAAGAAGGGTTTGAGTTGAAAGAGTTGTGTCCGAATTTGAGAAGTTTTATTTGTAGTTGTTCGCCTTTGGCTGAGGTTGAGTGGAATTGGGAGGATCCTGATTGGGTGAGTTTGGGTGTTTTGTTTCCTTTGGCTAACGCGGAATTGACGGTCCTTTTGTTTTTTTTCGCTCAGGTGGCACCTCACGCGTTGTTGACGAGTCATGAGAACCTCGAGTTTATTGGAATTCGTGGGTTGGGCGACGTTGTGAGAAGAGGTTGGGAAGAGGTGAGGATTTTTGCTGCCTTTTTTTTTTTCTTTTTTTTTTTTTTTTGTTCACTTTTCCGGTGTGGTTGTGCTTCCCTCGATGACATCATGCTCGATCTCTGCCCATTCCATATGCGAACCTCGGGGCGTACATCCTTCCGTTACTCCTATACTTTTTTGCTCCAACCTTCCGCTTACTCCTATCTTATTTTACCTCGGAAACTGACGATCCGTTGCCTTTTGCTTACAGTCCGCCCCATCGCCTGGGTCACCCGACTACGTCTCCTATCTATTTTCATCCGATCCATCGCCGTTCTTTATGCTCCTCGAACAGCTCACTTCTCTCCTTCGTTCCGAAGCGTTTCCGAATCTGAAATTCATCCGGGATTTAAGTGAAGAAAGTGATTTGTTGAGGAGGGGGAGGCTTGCGCTTGCTGAGTGGTATCCTCCTGCACCGTCGTCTCAATCGGGTGGGAGTAGGAGTAGGAGAGGGGGTGGGATTACGAGGCGACTTGTTTCTGGACCTCCTGCTTTGGATGGGGGGTTACACAGGGATGTGCCTGGGCATGCTTCCGTTGTTGCGCTTTGGAAAGAGGTGTTGGAGAGGACGAGGGAGAGGGGAGTGTATGTTGAGGATTTGAGGGGGGTCAATGTTACGAGGAGGGATTTGGAGAGGTGGGGTGTTGGGATGGATTGATTAGGGTTAGGGCTCAGGTTGGGAGGATTTTTCTTTTTTTTATGAT